CCCACCCCGCACCCACCCCCAGCCCACGCGCACCATGTTGAGGCGTCGCGCCCAGTCCAGCTGCTTGGCCTTGAGCGGCGAGTTCTTGCCGCCGCGCAGCACGTCTGTGAGCGAGCCGCGGCCGCAGTACTCGGTGGCCACGCAGGGCGGGGTGGCGCACACGCCCAAAAAGGCGACGACGTTGGGGTGGCGCAGCGCAGCCATCATGCTCGCCTCCTGTGGAGGGTGTGTGTGTGGGGGGAGGGAGCGCGTGTGGTTGTGTGTGTGCGTGTGTGTGCGTGTGTGTGCGTGTGTGGCTGGTGTGGAGGGGTGTGGGCCAGGCTGGCACGGCAGTAGAAGCGGGCGCGGCGCCGGGGCTCGCCGCCTCGGATAGGCCGGTGCCCCCGCCAGCCAGCCCAGCCTGCCAGCCGCTCCCAGCCGCTCGCAGCCCGCGCGCAGCCGCAACCCCTCCTCTCCCCTTGCCCGCCCCACGCCCCGCGCCCCACCTTCTCAAGGCTCTCCAGCACCGGGTTGGAGAGGGTGAGGGCGCGCTCCGCGTCGTCCGCATCCTCAATGTCCATCCCCGTGTTCATGAGGATCTTGACCGCCACCAGCGTCTCCCGCCACTTGGCCAGGTACACCTGCACCTCACAGGGCGGGGGCGGTGAGCAGGGGGACGGCGAGCAGGGCGGCGGCGGCGGTGGGTGGAGAGGAGAGGGGGCGTGGCGGCGGCGCAGTATGCAGGCCAGCAGGTGCAGGCCAGCAGGTGCGGGCCAGGCAGGCCCCAGCCAGCCAGGCAGCCAGGCCGGCCGGTCAGGAGGCCGGCCCAGCGCGGCAGGCAGCCGCCCCCCCGGGGCCCCGCTCACCCGCCCAAAGCTGCCCTCCCCAATCTGCTTCTGTATCTCCAGGTCTCTGAAGTCGAACTGCCACACCCGCACATCCAGCTGCTTGGAAGCGGAGGTGCGGTGGCGCGGCGTGCCGCGCTGGCTGGCGCCCGCGCCCGACCCGCTGCCCCGCGCCGCCGCCTCCTCCCCCTCGCCCGAGGCCGCGCCCGCGGCCGCCAGCGCGACCGCCTCGGCCGCCGCCGCCGCCTTGGCGCTGCCACCAGACTCGAGCGGCGTGGACTTGCTGTGGAGGATCCAGTCGAGCAAGGGATCGTCGGCGGGCATGGTGCGGCGGGGGGTGCTGTCCTCTTCCGCGCCGCCCGCCGCCTGGCTGCTCGACTCGATGCTGCCGTTGCGGGAGTGGGAGGCGTGCGAGAGGTGCGAGGCGCCCGCCGCCAGGCCCGCGGCCGCCGCGGCCCCCGGCCCGCCGCTGCTGAAGGCTGAGCCGTACGGTACCGCGCCCTCGCCGCCCTGCTGCTCCGCGTACAGCTTCTGCGCGGCCGCCAGCTGCGAGGAGGGCCCCGCCGGCGGCTTGCCCAGCGCTGAGTAAGTGCCCAGCTCCACCTGCCCCTCATCGTCAAGCTGCATCGAACCCTTGCCCAGCCCGCTGTCCGCCCGCCCGCCCCCGCCGCTCCTCTTCTTGCCGCGGCAGCAGCACAAAAAGATGATGGCGACCGCCGCCAGCAGCACGACGGCGGCGCCCGCGGCGATGCCCGCGATCACGCCCGTGGACAGGCCGCCGCCGCCGCCGTCGGGGGGCGGGGGCGGGGGCGCGGGCGAGGCATATGGCACCATGGCGATGTCCTGAGGATCCCACCCCGTGCCTGCAGCACAACGCACCAGATGGGAGGGCAGCTTTGAGGGCCAGGGCAGCGTGAGGGCCAGGGCAGCTCTAGGAGCAGCGCAGGGAGGCGGGCGGGGCGGGCACGGCTGCGGCGCCGTCTGCGTGCGGCGGCTCGCCAGCCGGCTGGGCAGCACGCGCCACACCCGCCCGCACCACCCACCCACGTGCGTGCCACATGCACCAGCACCAATGCCAGCCCTGCAGGCAGCCCCTGCACACAACCCCCCGCCCACCCCGATCGGCGCCCCGCCGTCGCGCCCAGCCACCACCACCCCAATCGGCGCCCCACCGCCGCGCCCAGCCCCAGCCGCCGCCGCCGCCGCCGCCACCCACCGGAGATGCCCTCCTGGATGGCCCCCGCCACCGCCACCGTGTCCAGCAGGCTGTGCAGCAGGTCGTAGGTGAGGCGGGGGTCCACCGAGATGGTGGTGTTGGTGACCAGGTTGGCGCCCGTGGCGTCGCCGGTGTAGTAGTAAGGTGCGGCGGAGATGTCGGGCACGTCTTGCTGCGGGGGGAGAGGGCAGGGGAGGGAGGCGTGGCAGGGGATGGTTGTCTGAGGGGCGGCAGCGGCAGTCGAGGCGGGGCGCAGGCAAAGACCAGCTCGGGCTGCGGCTGCAGCTGAGGGTGTGCGGAGAGGCCAGCTGTGGCAAGGCCCTGGGCGGAGCTGCTCAGGCGCGGGCTGGGTCGGGCAGGCACGGCACAGCAAGTGTGGGCTGGGCTGCGGCGGCGGCGCGCCTGCACGCCGCCGTTGGGGTTGAAGAAAGAAGCGGACGTGTCCATGGCGTATCCCTGGTTCACCAGCGCCTCGCTCCACGCGCTGTTGTAGGCCGTGAGCAGCGTGGTGGTGTAGGGCTCTGCGGGGGGCGGCGGGGAGGCGTGGGCGGAGCGCGGCGGCGAGCGGGGCGAGCGGAGCTGGGGAGGCGGCGCAGGGCTGGGGGGCCGGCACACGCCTGGCTTGTGCCAGCTCCCCAGCAACGACTCCAAGGCATCGTAACGACGAAGCGGCAAGTGTTTGGTTTGGTGTTTTTGGTTTAGTGCTATTCAGTGGAATCCTGATGCCAAAAGCTTGCTCTTTGGGCAGCTGGTGCAGTCCCCACGCAGGGTCAGAGAACGGAGCGGCGTGCTGGGGGCAGGGGCGTGCCCCCAGGGCAGGGCAGGGCTGGGGGGAGCGGCGCGCGCGCACCCGCGGGGATGAAGAGCGAGATGTTGCCGCCCACCAGCAGGTTGCCCACCCACATCGACTTGTAGGGCGCGGGCGGCGGCGAGGGGGGCGCCTGCGCGGGAGGCAGCGCCGCAAACAAACCACGCAGTCGGCGGCGGCAAGGGCTCAGCGGGCTGGAGGCGTCCGCGAGAGGAGGAGAGCATCACGCAGCTGGGCCCGTCGCACAGCATGCTCCAGCAGGCAGGCGTGCAGGCCCGGCCGCTAACACCAGGCAGCGGCGGCGGCGGGGCGCGCACCGGTCCCGGGGGCGGCGACAGGGGCCCGCTGGGCGGTACCGTCAGGTACACTGCCAGGTCCTCCAGCTGCAGCTTGGTACCGGCCACCCCAGTGATCACCACAAACTGCCCCACCGCCCCCTCGCACTCGTACGTCGTGCTGCCGGTGGTGCTCTCGTTGCACACCCCCGTGCTGCCGCCCCCCGCGGTGGGCGAGGTCTGGTGCAGGCGGCGGGCGGCGGCGGCGCCCGAGGAGGCGGCCAGAGGGTTGGAGGCCACCACAGACACCGTGGCCACGTTGGGCTGGGAGGTGCCGGAGAAGGAGACGACTGCAGGAGGGAGGCGGGCGGGCAGGGGGGCAGGAGGCGGGATGGCAGGTGGCGTTATGCACTCCGCCGAGCGCGCGCCGGCCTCCAGGCTGGCTGCCGCAGTCGTGCATGCATGCATGCGCGCTCCGGCGGCGGGCGCCGGCACCCGGGCTGCACAGCAACTGCTGCACAGCACCCGCTGCCCGCGCCTCCCACCTGCCACCCCTGCAGAGTTGCCGATGTCCAGGACGTACTGAGGCGCCACGCCGCTGCCGGCCTGCAGGCGGCACGCCACGCGACGGCCGGGCGCCGCTGAATTGGCTGCGCGCAGGCAGGCGCGCAAGCAAGCGCGCAGGCAGGCGCGCAAGCAGGCCGAGGATGTGCTCTGCCCGCCGCCCGTGGCGGCCGCGGGCCAGGGGTGCGGCGCCCAGCCCACCTGCACCTCGACCTGGCTGCCGTTGTTGATGCCGCTCTGCGTGCCGCCGTCTGGCGCGGTGATGGTGTACCACTTGTTCTGGGCGGTACTGGCCGCTTGGGGGTACACAGCCACGCTGCGGGGGCAGGGGAGGGGAGGGAAGGGGGTGCGGTGTGGTGAGGCAGTGCTGGTGGAGGGGTGGTGGTGCAAGGGCGTGCGGCTGCTGGCGCCCAGCCTTGCTGGGGAGCTGGGTGGGGAGGACGCAGAAGGCGAGGCGGCAGCACAGGCAAGGCGCAGGGCAGGGATGGGTGGGGGGCCTGCCCTCTGCCCTGCAGCCACCCCCATAGCGGCCAGCCGGCCGCGCGGGGCCGCCGCGCCCTCACTTGCACAGGTACATGTTGGCTGAGGAGGCGAGGGTGAGGTAGCGGCCGGTGGCGTCGCAGGCCACGGCGGCGGTGGAGGACTGGAGGGAGGCGATGGAGGCGCAGGGCTGGCCGGGGTCGGAGGGGGAGGAGCTCAGGCTGATGGTGACGTCCTGGATGCCGCCCGCGGGCCCCGCCTGCACCACGACCTGCGGGCGGGAGGGAGGGTGGCGGCGGCGGGGCGGTGAGCGCCGGGCGGCCGGGAGCGGCGAGTGGCAGGGTGGCGTGGGCGGCGAGCGCCGGCTGCTGGCAGCCGGCAGGCCGCGCGCGCGCACAAGGCTGGCTGCGGGCGAGGCGGGCGAGGCGGTACCGTACCTGTGCCAGGGGCAGGCTGTACCGCAGGTCCACCGTCCACGTGGTGCCCCCCTGCGGCAGGTCACACGTCGCCTCCTCCCCAGGGTTGGTCGCCACCACAGCGCCCGGCTCGCCTGCAGGCGGGGCGCAC